TTCTTAGTCTCCACAGGACCCCACGAAGCAGGGACATGGCTTTTCTCCTACTGGGAGAGCGCATGCTTGTGAAAAACCTCTGTTCAAACCCCAGCTCTCTCACTCAGTTGCTGTGTGACCTCAGACAAGTTGCTCAGCCTCTCTGAGCTGCCGTTTCCTCGTCTCTACAACGGGCATAATATAGCTTCCTCATCAGTTCCCAATTTGTGTACTTATTTTCTAAAGATTTATTTGTAAGTGATCTCTACACCCAATGCGGGGCTCGAACTCAACCTTGAGATCAAGAGTTGCACGTTCCACCGACTGAGCCGGCCAGGCGCCCCTCGATCCCCCAGTTTAGAGGAAGTTCCCCTCTTTGTTCTTTATCCCACCGCCATAATTTGTGTCCGACTGTCTTCTCGCCCGTCACTGTCTTCCCTCCCTGGAGCACGGGCTCCCTGAGGCAGGGACCGCATGGGTTTTGTTCTCCGTTGGGTCCCTAGCGCTGGGCACAGTGCCTGGTCTATATAGCGGGCCCTCCGGGCAGTCCTGGTGGGCAGACGGCTGGGGTTGCTGTGGACGCGGGGCGAGACAGAAGACGGGGCTGGGCAGGCGCACTGGGAGGACACGGGGGGCTTCAGAGCGGGATGCTCAGAGCTCAGGATACCCCACTGCACCTGGGGGTCAGGGGTGCATCTGCCTGAGGTCAGGGGCTCCGGGTTCCACTCCCGCCTCCGCTGCCCACGCAGGGTGACTTTGGGCAAGTCACTTAGCACCTCCGGCCTCACGGTCTCCTCAGCTGCAAGAAGCGGGTAACAGTGGCCTTCACCTTGGGGCTCCTCGGGCTCAGGCTGGCTGGAGCTGTGGTGAGGGCAGCTTTGAGGGAGAGAAGGGCAGGGGCCCCTGGCCAGACAGGGCGGCCGTGGCCTGGGAGGCTGGACGTCTTGGTCCCCTTCTCTCCACGCAGCCTGAAGGACAGGAGCTAACCGTTGGCCCCAGAGAGGCTGGGAGGCCGCCAGTGCGAAGCCACCCCAGGCCCTCGTTTTGTGAACCTGGCCTGAGTGAATCCCGGGAGCCCTGGCCCTCGCCGGCCGTCCCCCGTCCTGGGAGGGGCCCCTCCACCCCCTCCTCTCCTGCTCAGCCCACGCTCCTCTCAGACGCCTGCCTCCTGCCCTCCCGTCCATTCCTCTGTTTGACACTGGGTGGGACTGTCTGTCGTGTCAGCTGCCCGGAGTCACCCCCCGCTGACTCTGGGTAGGGACCGTGTGGGTACAGCGCCTCTGGGTCCCCGGAGGGGTCCAGGCCCCGCACCGGAGAAGGAGGAGCCAGCAAGACACGAGCGAAGTTCTCGCCGTCACCTCCCGTCCCCAGAGGACCACAGCAAGGCACGCGTGGGCCTGAGCCTCTTTTTCATCTGAGACTCACCCCTTCAAGGGTCTCAGCCTCTGAATTGACTCTTCACCTCACAGCGCAGCCCCAGGATGGTTTTGAGGCTCTGCGGAAAATCTGGGTCTCGCCGAATTTTGGTCCAAGCCGAGTCTGTGTTGAGGGATCAGTGGCTCCGTCAAGGAAGATGGGATGGTCTCAGCCTTCACACGCCCTCCCCGCCCGACCCACCTGTGGCCCTGAGCTGTCGTTCATTCACCCAGCAAACAGCACATGCTGTGCGGGGCACTGGAATATGAAAATGAACAAGCCGGGATTGAGGGCCGTCGGGGGGGCTCCCAGCCCAGTGGGGGTGGGGCGGGGCCGGCAGAAGGTGGACCTGTCATCGCGCCCGGGAAGGCTGGGGGCTCTGAGCACAGGCGCCAGGAAGCCAGCCCACCAGGGCATCCTCAGCAGACCCCGAAAAGAAAACGGCCCCTGCCCGTGGAAAATGAGCGCACACAGCGCTCGCTTTGCCCCCTCACCCCAGCCCGTTTCCCTCTTCCGCGCATTCTTCCAGCCACGCGGACTGTCCTGGCCTCCCTGATTTCCCGACGGCTGGTGTCCTGGGCAGACCAGAGGCGGGCTAGACCTGACCCTCCCTGCCCTACCTGAGAACTGAGAGGGGCCAGGTCAGGAAGAGTTAGTTAATCTGGCCAGGAGCCCCGGGTGCCCCTTCCGCCGGAACACCCGTGCACACCTGCGTGTGCTGAGAAGCAACCCAAGGTTGCCTCCTGCGCGCGTCGCCGCTCCGGACCCTCTGAGGTGCTTGCGTGTGCTCCCAGGACCCCTGCACCTGCCACGCACCCCAGCTTTCAGCTTCCTTTCTCTCTCCTCTTGTCCAGAAATTCTCAGAGTTCTCAGAGGCACTGCCTTCTGCCAGACCCTAAGGAACCGTGCAGACCCCGTGGTCCTGTGGGGATCTGGAGGTGGGATAGGGTTGAGCAGGGGCCAGGGGAGGAGAAAGGAGGCCAAAGATTACCTTCACCTCCTCAGGCCAACATATTCAGAATTAGATGGAGGGTGCTTGGATGGTGAGAGAGAGGGTGGGTAGAAGGAAAGAAAGGAGAGGTGGATGGGTGGATGGATGGATAGATGAGTGGATGGATGGATGGATAATGGATGAGTGGACTGATGGCTGGCTGGACGGATGAGTGAGTGGATGGCTGGATGGATGGCTGGCTGGCTGGCTGGATGGATGGATGGATGGATGGATGGATGGATGAATGAGTGGATGGATGGATGGATGGATGGATGGATGGATGGATGAATGAGTGGATGGATGGATGGATAATGGATGAGTGGACTGATGGCTGGCTGGCTGGATGAGTGAGTGGATGGATGGATGGATGGATGGGTGGGTGGACAGACAGACAGACAGATGGGGTGACAAGGGAGGATGGAAGGAAATTGGGGTGATAAGGACTACAAGTGGAGGATGCTTACACCCAGTTGCCTTCCAAGATGTTTGTTTTCTTCTTCCTGAAGCGAATCTCCCTGCCTCCCCTGAAGGAACATATTCTAAGTCTGTTTTTAGTTCAGTAGACAAGAAAGTGTCCCTTGGAGGCTGTCTAATTGCAGTCCGTTCACCCTTGAAGGACTTTTGCGGTCATGGAAAGCCACTGATGGAATCCTTCCTTGTAAAACACTTCCTGTATTTTAAGACTTAATTATAAGAAATAAAGTGATTGGACTAGGTGGGTCTTTCCCAGGGATGTTTCAGGGGGTGAAAAGTCCCTTTTATTATCTTTTTAAAAATATTTCAGGGGCGCCTGGGTGGCTCAGTCGTCTGACTCTTGATTTCAGCTCAGGTCATGACCTCATAGCTTGTGAGATCGAGCCCCAAGTTTGGGCTCTGTGCTGACAGCGTGGAACCTGCTTGGGATTCTCTCTCTCCCTCTCCCTCTGCCCCTCCTCTCTCTTTCTCTCTCTCTCTCAAAACAAATGAACATGTTTTAAAAGTTCTGAAAGTTTTTAAAGCACTAATAAAAAAAAAAAAGCAAGTCCATTGGAGAACACCAGCTCTCTTTTTTTTTCTTTCCTAATAAGGCAAAGCCCATTGCTTTATTCAGGTTATTTGTACATTCCAGCAAGTTTGGGAACACACCAGTTCCCAATTGGGGGCCCTTTCTGCTTAAGTTAAAGTTCTGAGATTTTAAGGTGTACAGTTGATAGAACTGTTCCCACCACCAGCTGCTTGTCTGGTGACTTTTCTCTCTACTGTGTCACCGAGCAGACTGGAGAAATCCATCAGATTCCGGGCTGGTGTGATTGGAGCCACCTCTAACCTCCACTTGAAAATGCCTGCTTGCTCGACGCAACCTTGCTGTGCTCATTAGTTTCTTCTAGAGGGAGAAAATCTGTAGTTGGACGTGAAATGTCTTCCTTGTGAAGAAACCTAGTTTCACACATGGGGTACCATGTTGGGTTTCATTTTTCAAGGAGGAATTTCACTGGTAATTTTAGAAAGAAGGAAGAAACAAAAATAGAAACCCATTAGACCAATCCGTGAGAAAACTTCATCTCTTCCTTTTTTCTGATGCCTTCCAGCCCCTGCCTCGGTCCCCCTGTGCTGACGAAGCTGAATCTTATTAGGGTTCTTAGTTCCCTGTCTTCTGACCCTTTTACCAACAGGGGCCTCTCTGGACCCAGGGATGCATCATGTCATGGGGAGGTGGGTTGTTCTTGCTTAGGGCAAGGTTGAGAATGAACCAGGCTTCTCTTCTGAGCCTTTTATGGCCAGCCATTCATAAATTTGTCCAACCTTGTTAGAGTCCATTCATTGCCCCTCCCAGGGTCTCCTCCTAGTGCAATGGGTCCCACATTTATTACCTGTGGGGATGATAGCATTTCCTTCTAGTGGGAGCCTCGGTGCCTATCTTCTCACCTCCTTCCCAGTAGGACCACAGCTAGGTGGGGAGTCCACTTCGCCTCTGTGGGCCTCATGCCAGGACTTTCCAGTCCATTCTGGAGGCTGGTACTCATAAACCCGGCTCCAGACCTAATGGATGAGAAGGCCAGCTTGTTCCTGAGAACATTCTGGAACACCATACAGAGGGAGTGCTGTCAGTCCAGACTATGTAGGGTAACTAGAGTCTGTTTGGTGGGAGGCATCCTGTTGAAAGGAATGTATAAGAAAGACTTGTAGGGGCGTCTGGGTGACTCAGTTGGTTAAGCGTCTTCAGCTCAGGTCATGATCTCGCAGTCTGTGAGTTCGAGCCCCTCGTCAGTCTCTGAGCCTGGAGCCTACTTCCAATTCTGTGTGTGTCTCTCTCTCTCTGCTCTTCCCATGCTCACATTCTGTCTCTGTCTCTCTCTAAAATAAATAAGCATGAAGAAAGACTTGTAAATAACGCATCAATCGACTAGTCATAAATGGGCTCAGAAACTGTCTGTTCACTTCAGAATAAGCTCTATCCCTTTAGAAAGTCATACTGTTAATGTGCCTGGCACACTGTCTTTGAGTGGAATCGGGGAGGCTTGCTACTTGACTTACCAATTACTTGGGCAAACTGCTTAATTTCTAATGCCAACCGTTGAATCACGATGGCTCATTTAATCATCCCCTGTTTGGTGCTGTCATCCTCTCCTTCCAGATTGTTCTCTGGGGCCGGACTGAGAAATGCCTGAAGGAAACGACAGAGGAGATTCGGCAGATGGGCACTGAGTGCCACTACTTCATCTGTGACGTAGGCAACCGGGAGGAGGTATACCAAACGGCCAAAGCTGTCCGGGAGAAGGTGAGTGCCTGGGAGGGTCTGTCCTGAGCTTGGCTAGACACAGGACAACAATAGCCAGAGAACATTCTCACCTACCTGGCCTGGGAGAGAGCATTGCTAAAGGCAGAATGGCTGTTTTGGGGCATGTTTGGGGACTGTCCGAGAAGCTGGCCCAAGCTTTATGTGCATGTCTATGTGTGTGTGTTCGTGTGTGTGTGTGTGTGTGTGTGTGTGTTGTTTGGGGCAGGGATTAAGGGTAGGGGTTGATTACATAACAGGAGTAATCACCTGTTGTCCCCTCTGGAAGTTTAGACCTTGTGAGTTTCTTGGGGGGGTGGGGGGAAATGCCCCATCCCCCTGTCCCGTCCCCCTCTGGAAAGATCCTTCTCTTGACTCCCGCCATCTGGTCACCCAGAATGTATCAGTGAGCTCCAAAAGAGCAAAACCCATCCTGTTTGGTATCTGGCACACGGTAAATGTTAAGTGCTTCTATGTAACAATAACCTCACTTACTATTAAACACGCTCTGTGCCACAAAGTATTTCTAACCCTCAGATCAACCCTGGTATGGCCATCAGCTCCATCTCACCAATCCAGGTTGATGCTCAGAGACATGAGGTGGCTGTCCAGGGGCACACAGCCGGTGTTGAGGAGGCAGGTCTCTCCCCTGTGGGTGCAGGCCACCCAGTGGGACCGGCTGCCCTAACGGCCCCGTGGCCCCCTTGCCCACAGGTGGGCGACATCACCATCCTGGTGAACAACGCCGCCGTGGTCCATGGGAAGAGCCTGATGGACAGTGACGATGATGCCCTTCTCAAGTCCCAGCACATCAACACCCTGGGCCAGTTCTGGGTAAGGGCAGTCCTGGGCCACAGCCGGCCCTGGGTGTGACAATGACGTGTCCTGCCCTCCTGGGTGCTGTAGAGGAGTGGGGAGAGGCTCACCGGGGCTTGAGCTCAGGCCAGGCGGATTTCGGAAGACAAGGTGGCCAGGTAAGAGCAATGCCAGCCCCAGGAGACATCTGGACGTAGAGAAATGTGGAGCTCAGTGCCCTGCAGTGGGCGGGCCTCGGCCCCCTCCCGTCCCAGGAGAGCTCAGTCACGGACTGAGGCATGTGCCCAGGGTGGTCGTGCCCCCCAGAAGCTTTAGAGGGGCTGCTGGAGACCGCCGCAGCTCCACACTGACCTCCCATCCACCCGCAGACCACCAAGGCCTTCTTGCCGCGCATGCTGGAGCTGCAGAATGGCCACATTGTGTGTCTCAACTCCGTGCTCGCGCTGTCTGCCATCCCCGGTGCCATCGACTACTGCACGTCCAAAGCCTCGGCCTTCGCCTTCATGGAGAGCCTGACGCTGGGGCTGCTGGACTGCCCGGGCGTCAGCGCCACCACCGTGCTGCCCTTCCACACCAGCACCGAGATGTTCCAGGGTATGAGGGTCAGGTCAGTGAGCCGGGGACGCCCCGCCCCCAAGCCGAGCCCCACAGCAGATCGGGCCAGGACATGCTCAGTACGCACAGAGCTAACGTTTATAAATGTCACGGAAGTCCTTTATCTTTGGTTTTGCGGTCTCTTGCCTGATTCTCTATGTGCAAGGCGGTGGGACACTGTAGTGGCTCAGGGAATGCACTACGGGAAACTCTAGCACAGGCAAAACCAGGCCAAGGTGATAGAAATTAGAACGGCGGCCGTCTCTGGAGGCATGGGGACATAGCCTGGGAGGAAGCACAAGGGAACATCCTAGAATATTTAAAAATGCTCTCTCTTCCTGATCCCAGTGGCAGTTACATAGGTAAAAATTAATCATGCTATACAACTTAAGATTTATTTCCACTTTTTATTGTATGCAAATTATAGCTCAGTTTAGAGAAATACTGAAGCCCAACCCCCTCTCCTCTGGGCCAGTCGGACTCCAGGGGAATGGGAACTACTGGTTGAGAGCTCATGCTCACCTCCCAGCAGGTGGCTGACTCACTTATACCTGTATTGTACCATGTGACCCTGGGTCCAATTAGTTCCCACTGCAGCCTTCATTGCTCATCGATAAACGGGAGGATGAGTGGGGCGCCTGGGTGGCTCAGTCAGTTGAGTGTCCAGCTGTGGCTCAGGTCATGATCTCACAGCTCATGAATTCGAGCCCCACATCAGGCTCGCTGCTGTCAGCACAGAGCCCCAGTGAGCCCACTTTGGATCCTCTGTCCCCCTCTCTTTCTGCCCTTCCCCTGCTCATGCTCTCTCTCAAAAACAAATAAACATTCAAAATAAAAAAAATAAAATAAAATGGGATGACAAGGATGTCCACACCTAGGGTTCTGTGATAAGAATAAAATGGGATCTGGCATGGATACTGCATGAGTATATAGTAAGTGCCCAATAATGATGCTGTAATGATGTACAGTCATGAAGGGGCATAAAGTTAGAGACAGACGACAATGGGGAATTATCCAACAACTACTTTCCTTGCTTTTGCAATGCAGCATATAATAATAGATTTGCCTTCTAAATTATACACATCAGGTTTTTCCACACATGACGATGGCGTGGACAGTCATCGCGAGAATTTAATGAGACGGTTGGTGGAAGGCATTTAGCATAGCATGAGCCATGTGGGAATCACTCAGTCCCCTTTAGCTGTTAGTATTGAGAATGATTTGGTCATCCTTGCTTCTCTACACTTGTGAAATCTTGAGCCAGTCTTGCTACCTCCCTGAGCTTAACTTTGCTCATCTGTAAAACAGTGGAAACAATATTTCCCTCTGGGGATCTTTGGGAAGATTACAAATAATACATGTGAGGCAGCTGGTGCAGAGCCGGGCATTCTAGATGCTCAGTAATGAATGCATGTGTGATTCATCTTCCTATCCGATCATACTTTTCATGTGCCACAGAAATCCATATTTTCACCTGACTCACATGCAAATGATCATGGATTCTGTGTTTAGAGGCTTAATGGCAGTTAATGTCCCATATTGGGTGCGACCCCCCCCCCCCAACATCTTCGTTTGGTTCCTTTTCTTCTGAGCATACAGGAGGTGCTCAGTAAATGCCTACTGGATGGAAAAGGAGCGGGGGCAATCCAGGGCTTCAGTTGGGCTCCAGAGCACAGAAGTGGGCGGGACATTAGCAGACCTCTCTCGCGGTGTGCCTGTCTCCTCTTCTGGTAGTTTCCTCTTTATGATCTGAAGGAAATGCAAGACAGTGATTCAGAGTTTGGGCCCAGACAGCCGAGGACCAAATCCCAGCTCTGTGTGACCTTGGACAGGTTACTTAGCTTTTCCATGCCTTGGTTTTGTCTTTAAGGAGGGATTGATAATGTCCCCCCTTCTTCACAGGTTAGATGAGCTCCTAGATGTGAATCACCTAGCCTGCCTGGCAAGTCGTAAGCACTAGGGGAAGGTCAGTTACCTGGGGTTGTGCGGGGGAAGGTCGTAAAAGGATGATTGATGTTTAACCAACTCCCATTTCCTAAAAGAAAAGGAAAGAAAGAAAGAAGAGAAACATCGGCTTCCTCTCCAACCATGATTCACAGCTTCCCAGGGTTGAGGGGAGGTAGAGACCGATGTTTAGGAGAAAACTGATGGTTTTCTGGCAAGAAGGGCCATGAACGAGCTGTTGTTTGCACGTTGCTATGTATTGATCTTGTTCTGAGTCCCAGCCACAACAGCTACTTTACAAACGCTGTTGCACTTGGCCCTCAGCAGCGCTGAGAGCGAGCTCTTATCCCCACTTCACAGACGTGGGAACTGAGGCTCAGAGGAGCAAGGCTACCTGCCCAGGGCCGCACAAATGGGAATTGGCTGAGCACGCTTTTTCTGCAAGTCTGCACTGCCTCCGTGGGAATACTAGCCCCTCTGGTTCCCTGTACACCCATTCTGCCCACCAGGAGGGGAAGGAGAAAGTCTCCAGTGCTGGCCTTCTCTGTCGGGATCCCCTGCAGGGTGTTACTAGGAAGGGCCCCCCGTACCCACAGAGCTTAACCCTCTCCATCCTGTCTTCCCTTCCCCCACGTAGCCAGCAGGACGGGCCCTGGTTGGGGCTGGAAAACCAAACCGTTCGCCATGTCTGTACGGCTCCTCTACACATGCGTCTTATTAGGCCCCTGGGGGCCGCCCTTCCAGGCTGCAGAGCCGTGAGCACCTTAGCGGCACATTGGGATAGCAAAGGAAGCTCGTGGCGGGGAGGGCGTCGGGGGAGATCCGCGGGTTCTCGGAGACCGACCGAGCCCCTGCTGGGGTCCCCAGAGTTGCCTTTGCCCAGGTGACATCAGCTCCCTGTGACTCATCACCCTAAGTGCTCCTGCTACCTGAGCGCAAGCCCTTCGTGGGATCCAGGTCAGCCCTGCGCCTACAGGCCCACGAAGGACGGGGGGACAAGGTGTGAGTGAGGACGGGGACAGAGCTGTGGCCTGGGGCTCATGCTGGCCTGGCTTGAGCCCTTAGGGCCCCGCCTTCTCCCCAGAGCCTCAGCCTCCTTCTCTCTGAACTGGAGCAAAAGGTTTCTGTTGCGTTTAGCTCAGGCCCTGACACTTAGGGAACATCATCACTGTGCGGGTCTCAGGTCAGAGGCCTCCGAACAGGCCTGAGAAAGCTCCCTGGCGTCTGCTTTTTCAATCATTCATTCATTCACCAACCCAGTGGAAGGCGCCCTGTATATGTTTGACTGGCTCAATTGGAGAATCAAGGAACCAAGGAGGGGACCAGCACGGGGGCATTCGGGGAGCAGCAAGTCGTTCAGGCTTCATCGGTTCAGCAAGCATTTATCGAGCTCCCACTACATACCAGACACGGCACACCAGGGGATAAAACAGGGAGCAAGACCAACCAGACCTCTGCCCTGTGGCTCTCACAGTCTGACGGGGGAGACAGGCCACGGACAAGCAAACAAGCAGACAGGCAAGGCCGAGCGGTAAATGTGGTCGAGGGGGTTAGCAGGGGGAGATCAGAGGCCACCCAGAGCGGATGGGCCGAGAACCAGGACAGCTGGCCAGAGGCCCTGAGATGGCAGGGAGCTGAGGCGACAGAAACAAAAAGGTTGGCCTGGATTTCGGGAGCAGAGTGACAAGGGAGAGGGTCAGGCGGTGGGCAGCGCCCAGATTCAGCAGGGCTGTGGGCAGTGCTGGAGAGGGTCTGAGCCGGGCAGCAGCAGGAGCTGAGTGACATTTTATTATTTTTTTTAAATGTTTATTTTGAGAGAGAGAGAGTGAGCCCGGGAGAGGGGCAGAGGGAGAGAGAGAATCCAGAACAGTCGACGTGGGGCTGGAACTCACAAACTGTGAGATCACATCCTGAGCCAAAATCAAGAGTCGGATGCCTAACTGACTGAGCCACACAGGCGCCCCTGGGTAACATTTTAAAGGCAGCATTTTGGAGAATGGGTCCCGGCGGTGGGCTCCAAGACCTCCACTCTCCAGGCGAGACTCACTGGGAAGAAGGGGAAGGAGGAACTCCCAACATTTCTGGGGCAGCGGGGTTGGGGGGGTTTGGGGAGAGTGTTCCAAAGGGGACTCAAGTCTCCCAAACAGGAGAAGCCAGAGGGACGGTCCGCGGATGTTATAGCCATGGAGATGGTCCGTAGAGGAGCTTCCTTCTCTAGGAGAAACCCATAGTGTCTCTTCCCGCACCAGGTTCCCCAACCTCTTCCCCCCGCTGAAGCCGGAGACCGTGGCCCGGAAGACGGTGGAAGCGGTTCAGCTCAATCAGGCCCTCCTCCTTCTCCCATGGACAATGCATGCCCTCATTATCTTGAAAAGGTACGGGCTGGGGGAGAAAGCTTGGGGCCAGGCTCACCAGGGAACCCCCGCTGGGGAGAGGCAGGCGGGAGGAGAAAGCACATCTGTGATCGATTACTCATGTCTGCAGTGGACAGGAAACCGGCCTTTGTTAGTAACCGCATGAGAAATTAAAACGGAGAAAAATTGTTGCAAGGCTTATGTATTTATTTATATTTAAAAAATGGATCGATCAGCAGTAATAAGTCCATTCCTTGTTAGCATAAATACGATCTCGTTACAAAAAGTGTATTTTCCAAAAACTACTTAGTAGGAAGAATGGCGTTGTTTTGCATTTTTGGAAAGTTCTTTCTTTATTGCCTGACTTAATTGAAGACAACTGGATTCTTATGTCTGCTTCTGAGTCTAATGGGTTGTGATGTCACATGTCGCAGAGCCTTCAGAAAATTCAGCCACACGCTGTGAGAGAAGAGGGTGCAGTGGCAAATGTGTCTTAGGGTTATTACAAAAACGGGCCTCTGAAGAGATTTCGGGTGTCCCCTAAGGGTTCCTGGGCCACACTTTGAGAACCGTCATTCCCGAGACTGGTCCTTGACCCCCCGGGTTTCAGAAGTTCAATCTAATGGGGAAAACAGGGATTGCAATGTTAGGGATTCACAGAAATGCTCCCAGGTGGGAGGTACCAGGACAGTATTTTCCAGGAAAATATACCAGGACGACCTCAGGAGTCAGGCTTTAAAGAAGAGATCTTCCTCCTTCAGAATTGGCTCAGCATCGCATTTCCTAGAACTTTCTAGACTTTGAGCAGCTCACCCTGCCCATCCCAGTCCCACAACGAAGGGGCCATTCCAGGTGCCCAGCTGAACACGGTGCGTTAGGGAGAGCTTCGACCCTGGAGCCCCAGCCCAATCCCTCTGACCTGAAAGGTGCCCAAGTGCCTTCTTCAGACCTCACCTCCCAGGAGCCCAGGTTCCCCTCTGGCTGTGCGTCTACGGCTGAGGAGTGGCTCCAGCTGCAGGCCCAGAAGCTTCTTCATGGAGGGGGACACGTCAGTTAGTCCTTTGTTCTCCAAACTCAAAGCTCTTTCAGAGAGAGAGTAGAGGGGCGGGGGGCGTCTGGGGCATTTGGGCCACATCTTTGCATCCTTTAGTCCATCCTGACTGCGGCTCTGACATGCTCCTTGGCTGCATCTGTGAGCCCCTAGGAGGGTAGAGCTTCGTGTCCTCACCAGGATGAGGCCGCCACCCTCCACCTTGGACTTAGAAGCTTCTTAGAAACATTTTCTGAACATTTCTAGAAAAAAGCTCGTTTGTCTAGAACAGCTCAGTGCTTTCCACAGAAGCCTGTAGCCTGCATTTCCTGTTCTATCCTCTACTACTTTCCATGAGAAGCAGAGGCCACCCCCACTCCCACCCCTGGCACTGTACCCCCTTCCCACTCCCCCCAAAAGAAATCTTTACAAGCTCAACTCTAGTACTACCCCGCCCCCAGGGAGCCTACCAGATTGCTCTGGCTGGAAGGGAGCCTTTCCCATCCTGCGCCTGGAGTGGTCCAGGGCCCTTCAATTTGATTCAGCAAATGGATTGGGGCCCCCTCTGTGCCGAGCCCCACACTGTGGGGCCGGGATCAGAGAGAAAGTATCTGCCACCCATGGGCTTGCCAAAGAAGCAGCAAGGACCCTGCCAGGGCCCGCTGGGGAAGCACAGGGCCTTGGGGAGCCCAATGAGAGGCCTGGGGGTGAATCTGGGAAGTTTCCCCGGAGGAGGTGGTAACGGTGCTTAACTCCTCAATCCCACACAGCAAATATTTGTTGCATACGTGGCTTGTGAGAAGTAATTGATATCCTGGATACCTATTGGCTCCAAGATGCTAAGAATGTGGCTTTGAAAATTTGTTTCTACCAGCCACCTTTACCTTTACCTTGGAAACATTGTTTATCCACTGACTTGAAAGCCCTTCCTCCATGGCCGGGTGGGTGGGCGTGGCTTGAAGAGAGGGGTGGGGGCAGCGTTTGGGGACCCTGCTCTACTATGACCTGGTGGCTGGTGTCCTCACTGACTCTCTTCTCTTCTCCCTCCCCCCTCCCCCAGCATACTACCACAGGCTGCACTGGAAGAGATCCACAAATTCTCAGGAACCTATACCTGTATGAACACTTTCAAAGGGCGGACATAAAGGCAGGATGCAGAGACATGCTCGAAAGCCATGGAACCTGAGGGGGCCACGGCACGTGGGCACACCCCCATGTGCCTGTCCCTTGGCACACTTCTGCTGGGTGAGCAGGACTGCTCCTGTCCCCAGGAAGAATCCGGGTGAACCCCTAGGCCAGCCCCAGGACCTTTGCACAGGACTGATGGGCGTAACTCTGACCCCCATGGGGAGGCAAGAAACCAGCCAGCAGCCACCTTGACACTTTCATACATTTCTGATTCTGTAGAGTTTATTGTTAAATTGCTTCTCGAGTCTAACCAGCCATAGCAGTGTGTATAGACTGTTTCCAGAAAGGTCTATACCCAGATGCTCTTTTCTTTCCAAAATCCACCCATCCTCCGCTTGTGCAAACTGGTTTTATGGCAGGAATGATAAATAAAGAGATGGTTTTTGCGAGTTCTTTTGTGGAAATCCCTGAACCCCTGGTCCTTGCCCTTTGGGAAGGGACTGATTCTGACCACGAGACCCCATCTTATAAGAGATAGTTGGTCTCCTCTGGGTCCCCAGCTTCTGGGAGTGGAGCGGGTGAGGAGCAGGCAGAGATGGCAAGAGGTATTGGCACCCCAGCCTGGGGTACACGGTTCCTTGCTGCTTCCACCAGGTCCCTCCCAGCAGCCATGAGTTGGGGGACACTTTGCACCCCCCTCTGGTTCCCTGATACGACCTTAATGAACTGGTCTGAGGAGAGCTGCTCTCTGCTCTGCTACAGCCTTGCCGGGCACAGAGTAAGCAGCTCAGGAGAGCAGAACCCGTCCTTAGTGAGAACCCACTGTCTACTGAGCATGACTGGGTACTGAGAGGGCAGTGTTGCCAAGAAGCCAAAGTTCTGAAGGCCACCATCAATAGGGTGCTATGGGCCCCTGACCCAGACTGGACTGCAGGGGATAGAAGGGACACAGCAAAGGGGGCCCTGGGTGGCTCAGTCAGTTAAATGTCCGACTTGGGCTCATGTCATGATTTCATAGTTCTGTGCTGACTGCTCAGAGCCTGGAACCTGCTTCGGATTCTGTGTCTCCCTCTCCTTCAAAAATATTTTTAGATGTTTTATTTATTTCTGAGAGAGAGAGAGAGAGACAGCGAGAACAGGGGAGGGTCAGAGAGAGAGGGAGATATAGAATCTGAAACAGGCTCTAGGCTCTGAGCTAGCTGTCATCACAGAGCCCAACGCGGGGCTTGAACTCACGAACTGTGAGATCATGACCTGAGCCGAAGTCGGACACTTAACCGACTGAGCCACCCAGGCGCCCCACTCTCTCCTTCAAAAATAAATAAACGTTAAAAAAGAAAAACAAAAAAACAACCAAGTGAAATAGCAAAGAACAGAGAGGTCTGGAATGGCAAAATGGACTGGGGCTCAGTCGATGGGGAAAATTATGGCCAAGGAGACGGGAGAGATGCCCCATGGTTTGCCTGGTGTGTGCTCTTCTCTGCTGCAGCAAGCTCAGTAAACCTGACCTTGGGCAGGGGCACAAGTGGACAATGGCCTCTGTCCACATGGGTCTTGCAGGTGGACGGCCAGGTGTGGGGTGAGTGGGGGGCAGGCAGTGGAAGAGCTTCCCCAAGCCTGTGTAAGGCCAGTTAGCCTTACACACAACTCATGTTAGCAGAAGATTAATCTCATAGCTCAGTCTATTGTCAGTCAGGTCTGTGTGCAGAAATGCCAAGTCATGATTATATCCATTGTTCATGTAGTACCTACCAAGTGGCCGCCAGGTTGAGGGCATCACAGTCTAACGGTTAATTATCCACTGCACCCGGCAGCAGCTCTCGGAAACCCCTTCCAGCAACTGCAATGTATATCAGCCAGGATACAACCCCAGGTCTCAGTGACTTCAACAACGGAGGCTTGTCTTATGACTGCCACTTGTCCTTCACAGGTGGCTGTAGCTCTGCTCTGTGTCCTCTTCACACTGGGAGCCTGGCTGAGAGAGGAGCCTCCATCTGGGACAATGTCTTGTGGCAGAGCTGGTAGACACACCTGGCCACCCAGGATTGGCTCTGAAAGTTTCTGCCTGGAAACAGTGCGTGTCACTTCTGCTCACAGCTCATTGGCCAGAACAGGTCATGTGGTCCAGACTGCCATGAATGTGGCTGATATACAATCTCCATGGAGGAGTGGTCCATAATTTTGAACGGTTATGCAATCTGCCACACCGTGGAAGTTGTCCATAAGAATATAAGGAAAAAGTGAAACGTAGGCAGGGGGTGGAGGGAAGCCGATAGACGCTGCCCAGGGATATGGTGGCCTCTCAGTGGTACACACCGTGTCCTGAGCAGAGCCCCAAAGAAACGCTGGCCTTTTGTTGAGGTGGTATTGGAAAGATCGTTTTGTAGGTGAGAAAACAGACTCAGAGCAGGGAAATCATGTGCCCGGGTTCATAGGGCTTGTAAACACCAGAGGCAGAATTTGAACCTGGCTCTGAGCTGCAAGCCCGTTCACAGCAGCAAGAGACTCATCATCTTCGTTTTGGTGCTTGAGGACACGTGTCACAAAGTGGGGGGAGGGGAAGAAAGCTGCTAACGGCGTCCACCCGGCACCCTTGCCAGCCCGGTGAGGTCAGGCCTGGAACGTCCACGGGCTTGGCCTGCCGCTGTGCTGTCCCAGAACCACAGCCAGATGCCTGTCACTGGCTCTCACGGGGGACAGGTTCCAGGCAGGGGGCACATCATGGGCAGGGATGGATGAGGAGGAGGAAGTGGCGATCCCGTCTGCTAGCCAGTGAGTGTCCAGTGCGACTGCCGCCTTCCTGATCATCCGTGGGCGGCAAGCAGAGTTCTGAGGTTACAGCTGGCTCCTGGCCAACCTTTTGGAGGGAATTTGACTCCGGAGGTTTCCACGAAATTGCATGCGACCTGCAGGCCAGGAAGACAGTGAGAATCCCAAGGGTCCGAGTGGACTCTGGGAGTGACAGGGCCAGCCAGCGCCCCCCGCCCCCCAACCAGGGCTTCATGAGAATGGAATTGGCTTGGCTGTGTGGGACCTCACATCTTCCCAGAGCCCCAGGGGCTCCTGCTGACAGCCAGCATGGCCGGGTCCCACCCCGACCCCTCCCTCTCTGCTGGGACACTTTTCAGTCTTTCTCTGGATCTCTTCCCAGAGGAACCAGGGAAAAAGCCTTGGGCAGATTCCCAGGAGACCCTATCCTGGTCCCTCCCCCAGAATGGTCTGGGTGCTTGGAAAGCCTTGAGAGTGAGGGAGGAGATCTAATCCTGTCCCTGAGCTTAGCCAAGCCAATGAGAGTGACAAACACTGAACCCTGGCTCCCTGACCCCCGAGGGGCAGGACAGGGAATGACAGCCCTGCAGAGGAGGCTCAGGCCCTGGGAAATGACCTAGTTGCCAAGCCGGAGGCCCCTCCCTATCTCCAAAGACAGCCGGAGTGGAGGTGGGCACCAAGCCCAGGGAGGCGCCAGACCCGAGCCCATCCTGGCAGGGTGCCAGGGACCTGGTTATCTGGCCTGGCAAGTGGCCAAGAGCTGAATCCTGTGGTCACAGCCCCGCTCCTGGGGCCAGAACGCTTGGAGAAGCAGAGTCTCTCCTTCTCAGGCCAAACCGACGGCCGGGAGGGGCCAGGGTGACAGAAAGCTCCTGGGCTGACCACAGAGCTCAGCCCTACACCAAATACCCGCCCCCCCCCCCCNCTGGGCTGACCACAGAGCTCAGCCCTACACCAAACACCAAACCCCCCCCCCCCCCCCCCCCAACAAGAGCTGTTCTGATGGGGCAGACAGCCCATCACGCTCCTGGAGGTATCCCAGTCTGATGGGGAAACAGAAAGGGAGCCCGGTCACAAACAAATGAATCCTGCTGTCCGAGGGAAGAAAATGCTTGCAGGTGGGTAGACGGGGCCAGAGGGTGGGGGAGGGGCCGCTGGGGGTGCTGTCCCTCCACCAGGGTGGTGCCGCTGGGACGTCTCCCTCTGAGGGTGCTTCTCTGATTTCCAGGAAGGGGATCGTTAATAAGAGCCCAGCGGTCTATGTTTGTGAAGAGAATGTCGATATACAGTCACCCCTCACTTTAAGCAAAGCAGGGAGGTGATGACGGTGTCCCTCGGCACAGAAGGAAGTCTGGGAACCGCCTGTGGGCCCCCCAGTCACTCTGCATTCCCCTCCAGTAGGGTCCTCACACTAGGGTCCAATTTACCCACATTTGTTAACACCCTTCTCCTCCTAGACCGCGTGCTGTAGGGCAGAGCCTGGGCCTGGGGGCCGCTGCCCCCTCTCACCTCCCATTCCCCCCCCCCCTCGCCCCAAGGCCCTCAGCTTCCAGGAAACCGGCAGATCCCTGAGTACCCGCTTCTCCCAGCCCACCATGGCCTGGAGGCTCCCCAAGAAACAGCAGGCCCCAGCATTTTCGGGGACGAATCCAGACTCTGGAGTCCACTGGCTCTTCTCCCTCCTGCATGTGAGGTCGCCTTTCCTCCCCTGTGGAAGGGACGAGATGTTCCTGCCCCCTTGCCTCCTGGGCAGGGAGGAGTGTCCAGTGCAAAGGTTCTGGAAACTTTGGGAGAGGGCTGATGTGATGCCGCTGGCTCCCACAGCTTCTAGCCGAGACCCAGATGCCCCTCAGGACAGGTAGCGTCACCGTCTTGGCATGGCCTGCCTGACCTGTGACAGCAGCGAGCTCTGAGGCCTGGCTGTAGCTCCTTCAAGGCTGGGGTGGAACGAAGCTGGGGTTCAGAAGACCCCAACGTGGGTAGTAGGGGCAAGGGCTGGGAGAGGCCCATGGGAGGGCAGAGCAAAGGGGTCGGCAGAGAAGTGCTGTATCTGAGTGGGGAAGGGAGCTGCCAGCTTCCGAGACAGCGGGCGGGGTCAGACGTTTCCCTGGGCACATCCACCCGCCACGCCTGGCTCTGGGCCAGCCGTTTGCACCCAAGTCTCTCTGGGGATCAAGAAGAAAAGAACCACAGAAGTCCCCTGGGAGGGCATTGCCCGGTGTGACACGATGGTCCCTGCCCTGCTGGGCAGCCGCTCTCGGCACGTGGATCCCTTGGGTGGACGGCAGGCCTTGGGGGCGGGGCCGCCATCCCACACTAGCTGGTGGGGGAAGGCCGTGCGGGGCAGGCTGGAGGCCGGTGCACAGCTGTGTGACCCCGGGGGTCACTGCCTTCTCTGGATGGAAGCAGCTGCAAGGGAATATCACTGCAGGGCCCCTAAGCCTAGATGCCAGGTTGCCAAAGGTTACCTGGTGCTGCCCGCAGCCCCTTCTCCAGCCCGCACAAGCCCGCCTCCCTGCAGGCATGCCCCCCTGCCCACAGTGGCCTGTGCTGCCCCCCCATCAGCCTCACCCTGACTCCATCCATTGGCTGTCTCACCAGATAGGAGGTGGGCAGGCGCCTTTATTAATGTCCCCGTATGGAGAGTCACATGCTCCAGGTGTATAATTCAGGGGTG